GTTGAATTAATGAACTGAGCTCAGTATATCAAATAGAAATATTAATAGTTCTCGAATGATGTTAAGTTACTGGATTAGAATTAAAACACATTTTCAGAATCAAATATATTTATTAGGTATGGATATATTAATATAACATGTGAAAGACCTCATCACGCCTAGTTATTCTTGGAATGCCGTCTTCATTATATTCATATTCTACTTGAACATTTCCATCATTTTCTACTATAAACTCTTCACCCAAATCATCCCAAATAATGCAAAGATTATGTAAAATAATGGCTCCCACCAGACAATTCACAATAAACTCAAGATCTTTATTGTGGAAACCATATAACCTACGAAATCTACCTTTAAGCAATCCAAAACTATGTTCCACTATAACTCTTGTTCCTGATAAGCGTCGATTGAATTCTTTCTGATTATCAGATAAATGTCCATTGTCTTTGTAAGGTGTTACAATCCAATTCAATGATGCTGGATAGGCACTATCCCCAATTATATAATAAGGGTATAGAGCATTTTCATCTTGAATTTTTTCATATATTGGAGATTTTCTCAATAGTCGTGCATCATGCATGCTACCAGGCTCTCCAACATAAATATCTGTGAAAATCTTTTGGTGATTCACAATGGCTTGAAGAAGGATACTGTGATAACCTTTTCTGTTCACATAATCTTCTTGATTCTGTTTTGGTTTATCAATTTTTATGTGGCAGCCATCTATTGCTCCAACTACCAAAGGAATCCTTTTTTTTTCTTGAAATCTTTGTGATAAATTTGGAAATTCATTAACATCAGGAAATTTTATGAATCTGCTATGAGTTTCCTTAAGAGCCATGATACACAATTTTAGGCATCCATGACATGCACTTTCTGAAACATTGAAGCGATCTGCTACTTCTCTGAAGGTATTCGTATTGGCTAAATACCACAACATCATGTGAACCATTTTTGCTTTTGAAATTTCCGGCCAACCTCCAATATATACTTCTTTTGGATTTCTATAAGATCTGAAAATGATATTCATCAAGAGTACAAAATTAAATAATTGGTTGATACTTTTTTTTCATTGGAAGGCAAAAAGGGAATCTCTATTTTGTTGAAGGAATAGATCAAGGAACATGTGTACCTAGGGAGGATCAGGAGAGAAAGTAGGCATTGGATTTTTTTTACATTGGAAGATTATACATTCTCGGAAATACTCCCCTTGGCAAAGAATTCCAAAACTTTGCCATTCTATAGACAAATGGGTTCTGGTGAGGAGTTGTTCTGCATCTCAAGGTTGACGACAAAAGAATGTGCTGAATGAGCTTGTCAAATACGTTTCTGCAGAACATTTTTCCTGGAAAAGTGGGTATCTATAGGGAGAAGTGAAAAGTCGGCGACTTTTCAACTGTGTTCCAATGATGTCAAGGAATCAGTGAGTATGGCATCACCAACCAGGTGGAAGGCTCATCTCTGGATGAATTCTAATCTGAAATGTTGAAAGTTACCAAACTACAAAGTTTCTGTAAACCCTTTTGATCAAACCTGAAGGTTTAACCGAGAATTTTTTGATAAAGTGATATAAATAAGTTAAATGCCTACCTATACATTCTTAATATACATAGAAAAAATTGGTCAAACAGTTTTCATTATATTTGTAAGTATACTGCCTATGACAATATTATTGTCAAACCTTACCACAAAGTTTTTCAACAGAATTTCTAGTCATTCTGAAATGTCTTTTGAAGTCTTCATCAGAATACTGTTTTACAGTATTTTCAAAATAATTTTCTATCCTTGCCCTCTTCATTCTCATTATATCAGTATCACTGTCCAAGTCACTGCTATCACTACTACTGCTACTCAGATCTTCCACTTTTATTGAACTGGTTTTCATGATATTTTCCTATAGAAATTAATATTCTCTGTGAGCTCAAATTCATCATACCTGATGCCACATTTGGCCAAAAAAGTACTTCAAATTCTGGCTCAAATTATTGCTACGGGAAGCAATCATCAAAAGGTATACTCACCAAAACAAATTCCATCATATTCAATCCTTCACATATATTTCTAAATGTGTAATTATTATTAATAACAATATAATAACCTTATTGTTTGATGTATGTGACACTAGCGACAAACCGACAAACAAGATTCTTGTAATTAGTAATCCATCCGAACCTCTTCTTTCGTCTTAATCACGACAGCTAGATCGATGATACAAAAGTTCAGTTTCATCTTGTTCAGTTTCACTTTGATCAGTTCAGTTAGATGGTTCAGAACGAAAGAATATTACTTCGAATAAGATTTATCAAAATTCCGAGAATGTATAAAATAAAAGAGGAAATTGAATAATCTGTATGTAAACATTTTAGAGTACTGGTACTTATAGGTAGAAGTGAGGGACATTTGCAAACATTTTACAATTACAGAGGTATTTCATGAGCTGTTTGCCCCTTGGTACGGAAATGAGTTATTTTTCTTGTACAAATTGAAATAGGTATATATAGCTTCTGAATGAGTAGTGTTCTAAGAAATTAGAAAGGTGTATTTATTCTAGGAATGTTCTAGGGTAGGCAATTGTAAAGGTAAATGAATGTGATGGTAAACTCACCTCACCATTTTGGCAGTTTAATATAATAACTGAAGCAAGGCATAAGGGTGTGAAGAGAAAACTAACAGTTTTAATATTACCTTTCATAAAAGGCGAATAAAAATATTAGAGGATCGAATGGTATGATGTACGACTATCTTCAACAGTTCTCAATAATTTCAATAAGTACCCGTTTCTCGTTCAACGGCTTCAACGTAGATCGTAGATGAAGTCACAAGTCAGTGATTATTTTAAACTTTGGACTCTCTGCTATAGAGGTCCACAGGAAAAAAAAAAGAAAAAATCATTATCTTTTTCTTCTCGAGCTTTATTTATCTTTTTACTTTTTACCATGTTTTTACTTACAATACATGAGGCTTAATGTTTTGCAAAAATGAGTTATTGCATTTGATGAATTTTGCTATATCAATTATTTCAATACATGAATTGTTCAAATGTTTGTTTTTACAATACTATGCTAGTTGATGTATGGTATAAATCAGTTATTTTTGCAATACATTGAAATCAATGTATTGCAGAAACTATATTATTACAATGCATTGCTTGTAGTGTATCTCACCATCGTTTTTACCATACATTGCAAGTTGATGTATTGTAAAAACGTTTCATTTTTGCAACACATTGCAGCAATGTATTGTAAAAACGTTTCATTTTTGCAACACATTGCGGCAATGTATTGTAAAAATGCCAATTTTTGCAATACATTGCCGCAATGTGTAGCAAAAATAACAGATTTTACGATACATTGCTCTTCAAGTATTGTAAAAATGTCAATTCCTGCAGCAAACTCTATTGCAAAAACACAATTTTTGCCATACATTCGATCCAATGTATATTAAAAAGTAAAAAGGCACTCCATAGAAATCGGTTATGGAAAAACTGTTGCCATGGCAACGATCGTCATGGTGAGGAGCATGATGAAAATAGACTGGTGTAACCACTTGTCAATTGTTTCTTTCCAAAACATGTAGACCGCGAAACACCGTAGCAAGGCCGCACCGGATTGACTGTAGATGGCGTAGGGAACATCGTGCCACATATACTTCACAGATATAATGAAAATTTCACGTCTTTTTCATTAAATCAATCACTTTTTCTCAATGTTTTTGATTTACGAATTGATATACGTAAATGTAAACAACAAAACAAAACAACCATTGTGTATCAAGATCACTTCGGGAACAGCGCCATCTAGCGTTAGTTTCGCGCGGCCTTACTACGGTGATAGAATTCGACATAATCAAGTAGGCCAGAGGTCTACAAAAATGTCTAGGGTTTCGTAAGAGGGAGCTATTTCACCATACATATATCCACCTTTGTGAGGAGTAAACAAAAACCCGATTTCCGTGGTGAGGAAATGCGTGGTTGCCAAGTTGTATAGGGTTTCGTTTAGCTGAAATCAGTTATGGAAAAACTATTGCCATGGCAACGATCGTCATGGTAACGAGTAAACAAAAATCCGATTTCAGTGGTGAGAAAATGCAATGTCAAAACACTTTTCAATGCAACCATCCTTCGCGTGACAAGCTATTCGACAAAATAAAAAAAAAAGAGTCATTTTGGAATATTCATAACGAGGTATCACGCAAGATATAGAAGAAGAGACACAGGTACTGGTTGTCTAATACAGATGGGAACATCTCGTTAGGCCCAAATTTCGATCTATCCACAATTCCATTTGCCTTCATTTCGATTCACCCATACCTTTCTTCTCGCACACATTTTGATTCAGCCACAGTCTTCAAATACACACGAACGATGCCTCGCTACCAAATCTGATCGATGTGGAAAAATATATCTCTTCAAAGAAGAATATGGTTCATTCATGCCACGTTAGCTTAGCTTGTTTAGAAAAAGTGTTGTCCTTTTTCATGCAGGAGGGATATTTTCATTCTTTCCTGAAAGGAGTACCTACTGTCTTTTTAGGAAGAGAGTTTATTTAGGTCGAGTAAGGTTAGATAGTTAAAAAAAAATTCGTGTTTATGCAGGATAGATATTTTCCTTCCTCCTTGCAAAAGTACCTACTGTCTTTTTAGGAAGAAGGTTCATTCAGGTCGAGTAAGGTTAGATGGTTAAAAAACAGTAGTGTTCATGCAAGAGGAATATTTCAATCACAATCGATCACATAAGCGCTTAAACCAATTTAAAAATTTTACATTCATAGCCATATTGGTTCAACAAGTTTCGTATTATTTTTTTCCCTACGTCGGCAGCAGTAAACGTTGAGGCCGTTACACTGAGCCGTTACCCCCGAGCGCTCGTAGTGCAGCGGTGATCATATGCGACATGTTCTCTGAATATGACTGTACAACCATATCGCTAACCGGCGCCATTTGTTGCGTCCTGTCTCTAGTCGCTAGTGCGAACACAAGAGCCTAAGAGGACAAGATTGACAAGAAGGAAGAAGAAAATCGGGAAATAATAAAAAGAAGAATGCTCCTCTAACCAGTGTAACTTTCCTAAAAGAAGTTCTGATTGATCTGAACCTCACATTTGAAAACAGTAAAAACAAATTTTATCAATTAGATAATTAGTATGGAATATGAAGCTAACAGGTATTGAATTCATCATTTAGTTCATATTTGTACAGGACGGTGTCATAAATCATAAAGAATACATTGATACCCTCTTTGATAGCCTCCTCAATTCCTATCCTAGATGAATGGTATGATAGCTAAACATTTTTTTTTTCATTTTCATCAGCCTATTACTTGAACCACCATGTAATGAAATCGTTAACGATATTGAGGATCTGATTTCTTCACAAGATATCACCCCTAAAGAGAGATATAGCAGTAGAAAAAGTGTGAAACTTGTAGCAAAGCGAAAAAATGTGAGTCTTATTAATTTGCTGTTGATGTATGTTTCCACTATGACAATAATTGTTTTAGTTGACTAATATGATGGTTCCACCAGCTGCAGTTGGTGAAAATATTCCAGGAGTACAAAAGATTCATATTAAAACATGGGGTTGTGCTCACAACAATTCAGATTCTGAGTATATGGCTGGACAACTAGCTGCATATGGATATCAACTGACTGACAATAAATCAGAAGCAGATTTAATTCTACTGAATAGTTGCACTGTCAAAAATCCAGCAGAGGATCATTTCAGGTGGGTGGTATCTTATTTTTATATCACAAGTTTAACATCCCACTATTATTCATCATATTTTAAACCTGATAAATCAATTTCTGCTACCTGTAGAAATGATTTTTTAATGGGGGTTGCCATGAGCAATTTCAGTAATTTTGCACTTTTCATGCAATGGGTTTTTTTTTTGAAAATTTTTTTTGGTACTAAGTATTTTTGTCTGAAAAACACGAATTTGATATTGAAAATGTGTACAAACCACTATTTATCAAGATATTGCAAGAAAAAGTTCGAAATTTTGCCTTATTTTCCCCCTTGTGTTGGATGCATTTACAGGTACTTGCTCTTTTTATTTTGTCATTGGACACTTCATATACTCATGATGTACTTCAATGACACATTTTAAGCTAGAAAATTCAACAGGAAATATGATTTTAATGGCGAGTTTTTCCTATTTAGTGAGCAACCATACCAGATGATCACCATTTAATCAATGGGTAATCCAAATAGGAGATGTCAAATGTCAATAAATTGCTTCAGAATGACATCACACACGCCATTATTTCAAATGATATTCTTCCTTCTTTTCACTAAACATGGATAAATCACAAGAAAATTATATTTATAGTTGACTCATATAATAAAAAAATGTGTCCAACATTGTGTGATATGCAGTATGATGAAAATGTATGGAATAAATTCATTTCAAAACAAGACGACTTTTGAAAAAAAACCAAAAACTAGAGTTTAGAACTTTTTTTTTCATGTATTTTTTTAACTAGACGACCCTTCCATGTTCAATTCTCAGTAGCAAACCTCTGCAAGATTCAATTAATCACATGATAATCCATTTTAATTTCAATCTTCTTATGCAACATTTTGACTGTTGAATAGACGATTGGTAGACCTTTCAATCAAGTTGTCACATGACCCCTATTTGTATTTGAAAAAATCGTCCATTACGTGTCTTTACTCCAACACTGGTGATGTAACATCTCTCATATGAATATCATGAGATGAGGCTTCAGAAATTAAAACTCACGTGTTTTTGGAATTTTTTCAAATGTCGCCCATTTCTGAAATAATGAATTTATTCCATACATTTGCATCATACTGTATATAAATTGTCCAATGATGGAAAAAGAAGGGCAAATTGTTCTAAATGCGCCCCAAAGACAGGCGGAAAAGAGGGTGAAATTTGTAACTTTATAGTGAAATATCTTAATAAATAATGGTTTGTTCACATTTTCATTATCAAATTCGTGTTTTTCAGACAAAAATACGTAAGTGCCAAAAATTTTTCGAAAAAAAACCCATCACATGATAAGTGCAAAATTACTGCAATTTCAACATTTGAATTATTGTAATTTCCCCTTATTTCCCCGAGAGGGGGAGAGGGGGAAGGGGGAGAGGGGGGGAGGGGAGAGAGGGAGAGGGGGGAGGGGGAGAGAGGGAGAGAGAGACCATTTTTGTTCCAAACAAGTGTCTATACCCTCATTGGTGAAGTCCCTATGTCCCGAAATCAGAAACACATAATATTCTCAGGAGTGTATGTTTTTCACAGTGCTTTTGTAAAGTACTGGATAGATTCATTTTCTAGTCAAAATATATGTTTCTGAAGCATCTCCTGAAACAAATCGATTTTTAATCTCAATTTGCCACATTCATGAGGAAGTATTTTTTATTCCCATAATCCACTTTAGTGTAATGACGCCTGCAACAAGATTTTTAAATGGAACACCTCATATTAATCCCTATATTATTCAAATTTCGGAATCTTCATGGAAAGCTGAATTCAAAAATATATCACAAATAGTGATAGCTTCTGTAAAGTAGTGGATGAACTCACAAAAGATTGAAGAAACAATTTTAGAGAAAAAACGCTCAACGTCGAATTTTGTTTCTGTCCGGGCATTGTTCTAAATAGAATTAATACATACAGAATGAATAATAATAATAATAATAATAATCGTTCTTTATTGAATTGAATACATATGATATAACATATAAGTACAATCATTACTATTCAATTCTACCGGCTATCGACCTAGGTCCTTCAGCCTTTAAGTTTATACTAATAAAATATAATCATTCCTACTTGACTTTTTAAAAAATTACTGTTGATTGTGAAAAAAAAGTCATTTTTGTTATGTTAAAATTGTTGAACCAATCGGAGAAGTATTTCAATGAGCGGTTCTTCTGGATGCTTGTGTATGGCCTGTACCTCTGGATTTCTTCTTATACAGAATTCTTGTAGTATCTCCATGTTGGTGTGTTTTCCACAGAATCTCTGGGCTAGTTCCTGTAGGCGTGTCTCAATAGGTTTTATGCCAGTCATTTCGTAGAGCAGTGGGTTAGGTGGATTGTGTAGTGGGTTGTTGGGGTGGCGAATTTTTGTTATTTTTCTGATTGCAGATGTTTTGGCTACTTGCAGATTTTTTCTGATGCCTGCTTTGCAGTTTAAGAATATCAGATGGGCGTAATCTATCATTGGACGACATATCATTTTATAAATACTGCTTGCTGTTGTCAGATTTATCCCTTTCTTCTGGTATGTCAATCCCCTAAAGTGGGTTGCTCTTGAGATCATATTTTTCTTTTTTTGGTTTATATGCTGTTTAACACTTTCGCTGCCGGTCAACTACAATGGACTGGCGTCCCACGCCGATCTCAATATATAGCAAAAGCAAGAGTAGTCTAAAACGCGCTTGCGCGTGATCGGCACCTAGCTAAATTTCCGCATCACGCTCTAGCGCGTTATCGGCAGCGAACGGGTTAAAACTTATCTTATTGTCGAAGGTAACTCCCAAATATTTAACTTGCAATTCTGGATGAAGATTGTGCTGATGAATAATGATGGTAGGCGATGAAGGTGAAGGGTGATGGTTGAAAATGATGAAATGGGATTTGGTTGGATTGGGTTTTAGTCTCCATTTGTTGAACCATACTGTGGTTGAGTTCATCAGGCTTTGTAGGTTTTCTACCGTTTTGACAAGGGATTTTCCATGTGAAACTAAAGCTGTGTCGTCTGCATATTGGAGTATGTAAGTTGGCATGGGGAATAACTGTGGGACGTTATTGGCGTGAGTATAGATGTCGGCGCAGTATGCATTGTACAATAGAGGAGATAATGGAGAACCCTGTGGTAGTCCTTGTTTTGGGGTGAATTCATTGGAGAGACTTGATAAAATCTTCACTTTCAATTTCCGGTTTGTTAAAAAGCTCTTGATCAGGAAAATTAAATATTTGGAACATCCTAATTGGTTCAGTTTGTATAAAAGCCCCTTGTGCCATACACTGTCGAAGGCTTTGTTTATATCCAAAAATACTGCTGCTGTTTTACGTCTATTAAGCTTGCTGGCCTCGATATTGTTTGTGAGTATACTGAGAGGGAGTAGGGTAGAGCATTCATTTCTGAATCCGAATTGATATATTGGAATGTTGACGTCTATTTGTTGGTGTATTCGATTTCTCAGTATTTTCTCCATGTTTTTTCCCAGTACTGGAAGTAGAGTAATTGGTCGATAACTTACAGTTTTAGAGTGATCCATATTTGGCTTTGGTATAGTGATGATAGTGCCTATTTTCCATTCACTTGGGATATGGGTATAATATCGATATATCGATCATTTTTTCTCGAAATATTGGAAAAAATAAATTTATTATTTTGGTCGCCCTCGTAATATCTAGACAAGAGTTATAATATTTTTGAAATTAATTTAAAATTTTTCTGTAAGGTTAGTTCGGGCATGAAAATATTTCGCGTAGGTAGAAAGGAAGTTTTTATGCTATTTAATTAGTTTGGTTGTAGATTCTTTAACCTATGGTTTGTAGAAAAAATATGAGTATTTTCAATTTGGCCTGGAAGAATCTATATTTCGATAAATCGATAACTATCGATCTATCCACAACTATCGATATATCGATAACCATTGATATATCGAACTTATCGATATGTGAAATATCGCGCAGCCCTATTCCCAACTTGAATATAAAAAATATTACCATTGCTCAATTGATTGCCGGATCACATCCTGATGCCATGTAGCACTCCTTTCTTTTTTGCTTTCATATTTGCTACACAAATAGAAACTTCTCTTTCTAAAATTTCAACATATGTCTTATATTTTTTTCTACATAGTTCACTGTTAACCAAGTTCTGGGTTGCACCAGAGTCTAAAATGAAAAGATTTGTATCTTTCAATTGACTGCTACAGTTCAGTGCAATGAATGTTTTTTCACTACCTTCATTTGCTCTTTCTGGTACACCTCGTTTACGACCACGGAATCTTCCTCCTCTAGCGCGTCTTGCACCTCTCGTTGAATGCTTCCACTGACCACATTCAGAGATTTTGTGGCCTTCCTTGCCTTGCCTTGACTGCCTCTTTGAATACTTTTATTTTTCAGTTTTAGTTCTTCATCTAACAACCTGGATTTTACAAAATCCATAGTAACATCAGTGTTTAATGTTTCAATGGCTGTTATGACTGGATCATACTCTTCATTTAGGGACAGCAACATATGACAAACTTTGTCAGACTCATCCAACTTTGATCCAACATTTTCCAATTCCCTCATTATAGTGTCAAAATTTAAAAAATGATCTTCTCACTTTTCATTTTTATTAAATTAGTAGTTTCATCTTCAATGTTAATTTTGTAAACACACTTCTTCTTTCAAAAACGTCTTCCAATGCCTTCAACATTTGTTTTGCTGTTAATGCATCTTTTATTACATCCAAATGTTTATCAGTTACACACTGTACAATGACAGATTTCGCTCTGGCATCTTTCAACTGGAACTTCTTTTTGTGTTGTTCTTCTGTGAAGTCTGTTGCTCCTTTTATTAGTGTTTCTTTGAGTTGTTTCTCTTCTAAAAGTTCCATTACTCGAAATTTCCAATTATTAAAATTTCCAGAGTTCAACTGCGGCAAGTTTCCTATCTGAATCATCATGGCTTTTTTTGTTTCTCTGGTTCTATAGGTACTTATTTTTTTCCGTAGACCTTGAGCTTCACTGGGCCCATAACCTAATAGAATTGTCTCTTTTGCTTATTTCTCTATTATATTTTTATAGAGAATAATATTTCATCTCATTTTTGTTCAAGTATTTTTATTACAATTAAACATTTGAACATTGTTAAGTTTCGTTACTAACTATTTTTTTTTCCACAACACCCTAGCTGAATATTTCAAACATCATCGGTACTCACAGAACACAATCATAGAATGACTACCCTAACAGCTTAAGCTAGCTCCACAATAACGCTAAATCCAACAATCCTAACATAAGGAAGAACTATTTCAGAAAGGCATGAAAATGTTTGGATCAGAATAGAGGGCACTTTGAGCAATTGTAATATTTTTTATGTTTCAAGTTCGGGAGGTCGTTTTTTTCTGGATATGAAATTGTTTCAACAGTGGTATGTCATTATATCGATTGATTTGATCAATTCCATTCAACAAAAACCAAGGTATTTGTAATATATTCACACTGTACTATAATCAATAAACATTTTCTAATGCTCGACAAAAACGAAGAAATCTAACTAATATTGGTCACATTCGACTGCTTCCAACGAGTATTCCCAATAATGTAGTATGCAACGTAGTACAACAAAGTAACAATAAACATCCCGTGAATATGACGCATGTTTGATTACATGTTTATTGCCGAATTCCCGTTGAAGATATATTGCGGGGGGCGAAATATATAACAGTATTTAATAGTTATATTGAAATACGTAAAGACACACTGGCGTATTCATGAGGATTACGGATGATGACGACGAGTTTTCAATAGAATATCGAAGCTAATTGCGATAAATGTTGTTATTCTATTTGGAAAATTCAAAACATTCCATTATTTTCTATCCAAATGCACAAAACCTCACATTCAAATTCAGAAAATTATTAGTAATATAGCATGGGGGAGCATAAAAAGTATACCATTCGATTCAGCTTCTTGTGTTCTTTTCAAGTATGTAAGCAGATTTTAGAAATTCGATAATACAGAGTGTTTTCTCAAAGAAATGAAAATATGATGAATTTTCGTTAATCCGGACCTGAATTTATCTCGTGACTAGTAGGCGAGTTGCTTGGGTAGAAGAAGGAGAACATGTGTGCCAAATTCCAAAAAAAAAAAAAATTGGTGGTTCGTAAGTTATGTCCTCACAAAGAATTGAGCAAATTGATGAAACACCCTATATCTCGGACATAAAACGTGTAAGACCCTACAAATAAGGTATTTCCTGAACCTACTTGATGTCCTCTACCAACCGTTGAAGTTTTTCTGTTTCCCAATGGGACACCCTGTGTAGTCAGTACAGTTGTACAGTCTCGTAGTGTATTTCTTCAATAGTTTCTGCACATTTTTGGTCCCACCAGATTGGCATTGGTTTATTTATTGTTTCATTTACACCTTCCTTCATAACCCTGGTTATATTTTCATGAATATCCATTTATTTCTGCTTCATTATTGTCTCAGTAATTTCTGTATACCTCTGGTTCCGTGTGGTTTGTTTTCTCCTGGCGGATTTATTGATGAAATTCTACTAGTGTCAGTTGATGTTATTCATTATATAATATTTGAATTAGGATTTATGGACCATTTCCAAGAATATCTTTTGAAGTTTCACTACAGATATAGAAATAGCAAATTTCATGATCATGGATCGGAATAAATTATTACTCAAAACGATTTCATATCATTTCAATTCTATATGGATGTTCGGGCATACCCAATTTACTTCATTTACCTAATTAATTTTTCAATGTTTTAAACGTAGTTTATGATGTAATATTTTCTTCTTAATAATTAATTTATAACATCTAAGCTGATGATGAACCTATTATGGTTCGAAACATGTCCTACTACTACAAAAATCGTCTAGATTTTTTATTAAATGATTGTGGATATGACTGGGACTACAGATTATAGGGTGATTCACGAGCCACTGTTCAGGGTATCCCAATTTGGGCACTTTTGCGGGGTATCTCCCTCATCAGTAAAGATAGAGCATTGCGGTTTTAGCGACAGTGTGCTACTTTGTTATGAAATTAATAATGGCGCAAGCAGAATTGTGATAGCTTTTCCGGTTGTCGAGATACAGGGTAGAATTGAAAAATATTACTTTTCAGGCTCAGTTATCTTTGAACTTATCGAAGAAGTTAAAACTTGTTCTTATAGAGTTTTTCTCGTAGAATCCAGTGGCGTAAATATTTTTTTGCTAGCACCTTTTGTTTTTTAGTTATGGAACACCCTGCATATTTTTTCATATATTCATTGAGCATTAAGTGGGCTTTCCAAAAATATATAATTGTTTACAATTATTTTCAAAAACAAGCTCAGAATTTCAGATTTTCAAAAAAAAAATTTTAGGCTAAACTTTATTGAAAACAAAATTTATGTGAGTGATTATTATACTTCTTATACTTTCAAACTCAATTCAAATAATATTTTTTGATTTCTCATTCCTCAATTATTCATTACATCATTGAAACTTAATTATTATGATGAATAACAACAAACACCAAACCTATTCTACTTAAGATTCAACGTAGGAAGAAGCAATTAAAAGCAGAATTTTGAAAATGCAAAGAGGTTTCAAATGACGACCATTTTCTATACAAAATTGACACATTTTTGTTATCTTTCTGATAGCGTTGTAAAGAATTATAGGACTTCTCTGCAAATTTTGGAAACTCAAATCAATCGCTGCACGAAGCTCTGCTACAGAATGATATCTTGTTCTATAAACTTTACCTTGCAGGAAACCCTATAAAAAAAATGAGAGATCCGGAGATCGAGGGGGACCCGTCGATTTTTTATTTCTACAGTGTACATTTTCGTAGGAATAGTTCACTCCTGATGTCATTCCTTACTGGAGGGGAGCAATCCTGTCAAAAAATTTGAATAGCATTTGGTGGTGATAGCTCTCATCTTCTCTATTCAACCGTGCAAAGAAATTGCAATTTCAAATGAGCTTTCACTCACCACCCCGTGCTATTTAAATTTTTTGACAGGGCTGCTCCCCTCCAGTAAGGGATGAAATTAGGAGTCGAGTATTCCTACGAAAATGTACACTGTAGAATTCAAAAATCGACGGGTCTCGGCAATTTCACTAACAAGAGTCCCGTAACGAGTTAGATAGGGGGGTTAACACTTATGATGTGCACTTTATGTTCCAAAGGCATGTGAAAACATTGTAGTTTATCGAACGGCACCTGTGTCAATCACAATCCTGAGCAAAATGATCGAAAAATTACACTTTCCTGTGCGTAAATTTGCAGTCGACTTCGCGATTTGATAACGAGATATGAATTATGCCATGCGATATCAATGGAATGGTAGATTTCAATAACCTTCCTGTGCCACTTATCAGTCTGAGTCAAATCCACGGCACAGCAATTTATTTGCTGCTATCATTCCGAACATACTTTCGTCATGTGATAGCGGGTTGAGACAAGAAGCAAATAAATAATAAATAACATGCGGATTAGAATACTTGTCGTGTGAGCACCACATGAGTTTCACACTGGTTCATCGGATATTATCTTTCGACGAGGGCGAAATATTCACGGAAATATTGACGCTCTGCCACTAACCTAGATCAGTTTGAATCGCGGAACGTTTGGATATTCGCAAAAGGGACATTTCTCCATTCCATTTGTTTTTTGTTTCAACTCGTTATCACATGACGGAGGTATGTCTGGAATAATAAATGCAAATAAATCGCTGTGCCGTGGATTTGGCTCAGGCAGAGGGGTGTCACAGATAGGTTTTTGAGATCTACTATTCAATTGGTATCCGATGGCATAATTCTTATTCCGCTATCAAATCGCGAAATCGAGTGCAAATTTCCGCACAGGAATGTGCAATGTTTTGATCAATTTGCCGAGGATTGGACATTGACACACAAATCAACAACGCAGTGAGAAAACTTGACTTGCATAGTATCTTATTGGCAAAACACTATGTACTGAAATAACAACTAGTAATTCACTAAATTATTTTGCAGAAATGAAATAGAATCAGCACGTCAACAAAGCAAACACATTGTTTTAGCAGGATGTGTTACCCAGGGAGCTCCAAAATCATCGTTTGTTCAAGGACTTAGTATTATTGGAGTACAACAGATCGACAGGGTAGTGGAAGTGGTTGAAGAAACACTGAAGGGGAACACTGTCAAGTTATTGGGAACAAAGAAAATAAATGGAAAGAAAATAGGAGGTGAGTCAATATATTTCTTGATCCAAAGCTCAGAAATCCTTAAGAACTAGATGTATCACATAAAATGTTCCAGATGGTAGACCCAAACTTCCGCATAGTAAAGCGTAATTGGATTCGGATATTTTGCTGATTTTTGCAAAGTGAGAAACAATAAGATTTCCACAAAATTGTTGGAAAACATGACAGTAGCCTCGTCAAGTGAAATTGAATCAAATCATTGTATGAGTATTTCACTCAAAGAAGAAAGAATGGGAGATTTGTGAATGAATGTGAAAGAACTTCTTCAAAAACATTAACATTTTTTTGAAACGAGACATTTTTGGATCACGTCTTGTTTTAAAAAAAATTGTTATTGTTTTTGAAGTTTTTTACATTCATTCTCAAATAGAAATTCACTTCATCATCACAAAGACAAAGCCCCTCGATTATGGTGAAGACAAATTATGTGAAGTGACATCGAATTAAAATTAGGCAAACATTTTTTAATGACAAGTGAGTACTATCAATATACAGCGCGCGCGTAACATATGGAAGCATGAAGATATCTGTGACACCCCGTAAGATTCGATAATATTGGCGAGTGGACTAATTTTTTTTAAAGGAAAAAACAAAATACACCAAGTCGGTTGTTTTTTTCTTTGAAAAAATCTGGACCACTTTGAGAAGAATTGATGGTTTCTATGACTTAATTTTTTTTTATTTCTTAATTAGAATCATCACTCAAATTGATTTCGATTTCATATTTTTTTAAGTACTACAACACAACACTATTAGACCAGGGTCGATAATTTTTGAAACAAAAAAAAAAATAGTAGGATGAAACCGGTTGAGAAAGGACGAGATTATAATAAAAATGAAAGGTAAAACAATTCACGGGCGATCTGAGGTAGGGAAGTGGAAGGGGGTGAGTTTTCAAGGGTAAAAAACGGTTTATCTTGATTTCCAGCAAAACTACGAGCCCTATGTAAAAAATTTGAATAGCAAAGTTGTAGGTTATATAGAGACCTACAACTTTTGTAATAACACTTTTTTCACATAACCTCAAAACTTATGTGAAAAATTCAAATAATCAAGTTTTTGGTTTTTTATTTTTCTTATCCAAAAAAAATATCTTTCACGAAATTTGGTCAGAACTTTTCATGTCCTAAAGACACTATAATTTTTTTGATTCGAAATATTCATTTTTTCCCCTTACATTGACTTAATATCGAAAAAACACCCTCATTTTCAATCGAAAATTCTCGCGTCAAAATACAGCTTTTTAAAAATACTCGGGGCGTTTTTCATTCGTGGAAATCTCTTCCTTCTGATAATGTAGGAAATATATACATTACTATGGTAAATGTTCTCAGAAAATGCAAAGAAAAGGAAAAACTCGAATCAGAATTTTTTTAATCACTATGTACAATTTTGAGGTATTTAGTGAAACTTACCCTTTAATTACATAAAGATTGCAAGGAACATGCGAAAATAGTTGTTCTAAATATTAAAGATAGGATTTGAAGGAAGTTAGTGGTTCAGATGAAAATGTGAAATTGTGGATGAAGGACCAATTCAGACTGAAAATAATATTAGATACGAAGACGGTGATGGTCTTGAAGATTTCAAAGATCTACTAGAATCGGGAAGGTTTGTCGAATCTAACGATGAATAAATGCCACGCAAGAGACAAAAAGTAATGAATAAGTGATTAGGGTTCAAGATTGGATTTATAAATAAGAAGATAAATGTATTTAAAAATATTATAATGAATAATAATAATCAGTATAAAGTATCTAAATTCAATAGTGCGATTTACATTTTTATTCATATATTATGAGATTTTCTATGACATAAATGTAATTAGAATTTGATAATTCAACTTTTTGTCAAAAAAAAAAATTGCAGCAATCACATTTTTTTATTTAAATCCCCCCTTTAAATCCTATCTTTAATATTGAGAACAACTATTTTCGCATGTTTCTCGCAATCTTTATGATTCATGGATTTGTAATTTTTTTGTTTTTCAATGTAACATAGTTACGTTTTTCAATAATTAAAGTGGAAATTTTACAAAATAGCTCAACATTGTACATAGTGATTAAAAAAATTCGGATTCGAGTTTTTTTCTTTCCTTTGCATTTCCTGAGAACATTTACCATAGTAATGTATATATTTTCTCACATTATCAGAAGGAAGAGATTTCAACGAATAAAAAATGCCCCGAGTATTTTCAAAAAGCTGTATTTTGACACGAGAATTTTCGATTGAAAATGAGGGTGTTTTTTCGATATTAACGACTCAACTAATCAACGAGTCCTCTCATCAACTGCTCATCTCATCAACGAGTCAAATCATCGACGACTCAAATAATCAACGACCCAACCCATCAACGTGTAGCATGTAAATTTTCACTACTGTATATTTTGTCTGATTTTATACTATTCTGTACTGCTGAGCACATCTGACAGGATATTTTGTCACAATAACATGGTTAACATTCTTCAATAACATAAATTGAACTCAATCTGCTTCAAATTATTTAATTATTCTCAAACCTGATATGTGGATACACACCTGAGATTTCACACTGTACATAAAATAAAAATACTATTTCTATAAATACGTTGATATCTCTTGCTATATCTGCTTTGTTGTGATCCAAGTAGAAGGATGATTCAGATGGTTTTTACAAGAACTTATCTGAAATAGATAAATAATATAAAGTAATATGAAATACCATTTCAGAGACATTCTCATACTCACTTTTCACACTGCTATTTCCACTTGAAACTTCATCACAGTAGGACGATAGGTATTTGATTTTCCAGGAATGCTGAGGCGGATGGTTTCACTAGGAATCGACCATGGTGAATCAATTAACTTCGTTTGGCATTATTTTCTTGATTGATGCATTTGATAAATTCAGGTTGATGTTTTGATTTTGTTAATCTGTTATTTCGCTTTACGTCAATCAGCTGTCGGTCATGACACCATGTCAACAGTGTCAAACTTGTCATGCGCCAAACGCCGATTCGGATTGATATGTCCTTAGATCATCATCGTCGAACCAACAAGCCGAGTATTCGTGAAGAAAGGTGTGACATCATTTTAGTCATCAATTCTGATTGGTTCAGATAGTCATCTGGGAAGAATCAAGTCTCTGGAGGGAGTAGCGATAACGTCTTTTATTTTGGATATTCAAATTTTCCGCCAATTTGAAAAGCGGAAACTGTTAAGTTGTTCTCGAAGTTTCTGGAAATTTGGAGAAGGGATTTCCTTTCTGGTCGTGAGACAAGAGCTCACTTCAGAAAATTCTTCGTGGTGGTCAAATGCCATTTTTTGGTGGTGTGAACCGGCTTCTGAAGTCCTGTACCGCCTGGCGTTCTAGATCTCATCAGGATATCCTAGATTTGTTGCTGATCTATAAGGACTGCTGGACTCTACAGATTCTTCTGGCTCTGGTTTAAGAGGCAGGATCTTCATGGCCATTTCAATTTCCAACCCTTCATAGAAGGTGAGTCTCGCATATGTCCACGTTTTTTCTTTCTGCTGTCCAGAAATTCAGAACCTCATTGTCATGAAATATTTAAGGGTTTTTTACCGGGAGTTTTCTACCGGGAGTTTTCTACCGGGAGTTCTACAACGGGAGTTATCCTACCAGGAGCACTATTCTTCCCAGGAATATAATTGCTCGACCAGGACCTGTCAATTCTACAAGGCCTTCAGTGGCTGTATGGTAGTCTGGAATCTGGATATCGTCCCCTGTTTGTTCCTGATATGATGGATTTTCAAGGTGGAAATACGACAGCTCTGTCAATGTCATCTGACATCCAGGGATGTGAAGTCAGCACCCCGCTCTCCGCCAACCTTCCCCTCAGCAGCTTCATTTGGTAGCACTGAAGTCATTTATTGCTACTCTGGATAACTGGTGTAGGACACACCATACAGGTTTTTGACATGAAAATATATTTTTATTTTTCATTTTTATTCACTCATATTGCCCATTGCTAGTGTGTATAATGGACCACTTTCAAATCATAGCCAGGTCATAACTTGATGAAATCACACATGCAAGGTATATACTTCCCCTCCACATAGTATACTATGCGCTGGTAGAATTATTCAGTATTCAATATTTCTTTGAAATCTGCTATGACTATAAAACGTCCTTACAGGAGCTCTTGATTCTTCAAGTACAATATAAGGTTGGTTTATAAATATTTTCACCCACATAATAGCAGGCAACAGTGTATTTTCTTAACAGGAAATAAGTATCTAATATTTTTTTATTATGCATATTTGTCAAAACCTGTGATGTGATATATGAGTCCTATCATCATAATTAAATGTTTTGGGTATTGTATATGACTGTTTCATTTGTTTATTTACATGACACTCCAACTCACAACATCTCTAAGGTAAATTTAGGTCTTTTAGTCTGGGAGAACAACTAATATTATTCATTATCTGGTTGCTCAACTTTCCAGATAACATTTCATTTGAATTAAAAGTTGCAGTGGCGCCCCATCTTTTTTGTTTATCCTTATGATTGCTAGATAACTGAATTTTTGCTATTTTAACTCATTTTGATAACTCGAACCCATAGTGCCTACTGACGAAGAGCTGCCGTTCGCAAATGCACCTATTTTCCATAAAAGTAGGGCTGCAAACGACCCAACTCATCTACGATCCAATTCATCAATGACACAACTCATCAACGGTCAAGCGATCAACTATTCAACACAAGAACGGTCAACACATCAACAATACAACTCATCAACGGTCAACCCAATAACGACTCAATTCATCATCGGCTGAAATAGGCAACGAAGAAATCGTCAACGAGTCTAATCATCAATGACCTATTTCATCAATAACGAATTTCATTAACCACCCAAATAATCAACAATAGAACTTATCAATGATTCAATTCATCAACGACTCAACGATCAACACATCAAAGACTTAACTCATCAACGGCCAATTCATCATTTATTCATTTATTTATTCATTCACGT